ATATATATATATATATATATATATATACATACACACAATAAAGTATTTAAAAATTATTAAATTAAACTGAATAATTGTAACTAGTGTAACATTTTATGCTGCTAATAAATAATGCAGTAAGTTAAGAACAGACCTGATGATAGTTATGTAATAGCCTAAATATGTGGTCTAAACAATAAGAGAAACATTGCACTAGTAAGCTTTCGGGAAATAAACACCGATAATAAATGTGAGGATTTGTCTAATGTTCCTGCTCTGACATTGTGGACACTCTGCTAGTAATAAGTGGCCTACGCATTTTGAACATTTCAGTAAAACTCACTTCAAGAAAATCCACGGAAAAAGATGGCATTCTGCCTAGTTCAGGCAATTTATCGGTTTGTTATTATAATCGTCGATTTTATCTACTTTAAATCTGAGAATACTTTATTCCAGACGGCAACACCTCGATGCGTTATTTCTTGTTAATGTTTTTAAGGGCAAAATAAATTGCAATTCCATTATGGAAGCTGTTGGTTTACTTGTGCCGGCGAGGCAAATAAGAGAATTTTCTACTTTTAGTGTGAGCAGTGCACTAAGACATAGTCCTTCAGCCAGGTGCGTCCTCGCTGCAAATGACGTACGTAAATTTTTATACGTATTTAGTATAAACATTGTCTCCCTTGAGGGCACGTTCTCAGTAAAGGAAATGATCTAGATAGGTTGTCTTGATAGATGATCTAGCTTCGTTATCTGTTTTTTGTATTTCTTTAACGTTTTACAATTATATTAGTGTTCCCTAGGTGGATTATTTGTTTTTATTTATATTTCTTCATTTATTATCATTATATCACTTGGATGGCTTCGTCATCCACTCTCCGTACCGTTTTTAGGCATAGTTTCCTACAACGATCCCAGAATACCTCGGTGGATTCACTTTTATTTTATACAGCATCCTGTAGCTGTGTACAATGATACTAATCAGGTAGCTTATCTGAGAATCGATCAATTAAAGCCTTTTTCATAACTCCATATGGACATGAATCTTTTAGTAATTCTTCTTTCCCGTTTAAATATTGCAATGCTAGACCCTGTAGCTTTGACTCAGCAATCAATGCCATATCCAATTCCGTCCAGTGGTTGACTTTTGTGAATGACTCGATTTGAGTAAAATATTCTTGTACCGTTCCGCTTTCTGAATCTCCAGACCATTCTTTCAGACTGGCTACTAATGATACATCTTTAGTCAAGCTTCGTGATAGGGCAGTCTGTAGTCCTTCCAGACGTTCTCTCAGAATTTCTATCTCACCTGCTACTGCGGTTGCCATTTTTGAAAACTAATATTTATCGTCTCTCTTTTGTTTCAGACTGACTCAGGACATTTGGCAGCTCTACAGTTGTATTTCGGGGAAAAGCTATAGCTATAGAAACTCAAGGTTTTGTTAAATTCATATACTGAGGTTTTTCTCACTTTGAGCATTTAGGAAGATCATATTCTGGCTTTTGAACAACAGGCTCCTCATATCCCCTGTATGCGGGTCGACTGGACACTCGATATTGTGCCAGTCCAGGTCTGTGGTTCAATTCCCGAACGGACTGAGCCTTGAGATGAAAGGTAAACCAGGCTTCGGCATGTTGATCTGGCTTATAAGAAAAACGAAGAAGGTGTAATTACATGATTTCTGGAACGCCTTACTTCACCTAAATTAGACTGAATGATTAATTTTGGCTTTGTGGAACACATTGAGTTGAAGGAATGTGGCCCACATGGCCACTTGCGGGTCACCCTCCTCGGCCTCCCTTCTGTACCAAGGGAGCCTGAAGTAGAAAAAAAAAGGGGGCAAACATAAACCAACAAAGAAAATACTTAAGCCACCCCACACATGGTGTGCATCCCTTCCAGATGCGGGGTGATGACTGCATTACGACCATCGCATCATTGCGATGGACCAATTGACTTTGAGCTCAGCTTAAGGCGCGTTCCCGCCGTTGTGGAGGAACGAATCAGGTCGCAGCTTTTAAGCCAAATTCAATGACAAATTACATAATGCAGGGGTATTTAAGCGCGATCGTGGTTGCGGGGCGCTCTCAAAAAGTTTTGGTCCTTCGGTCGAGCGGGGGTGTTTTTCTTAACAAACGTACGAAAGCACAAAGGAACAGCCGAGCCATCCAGCTGCCACCGTGAATAGTGCTTAGGATATATATGTTCCTGCGCGTATTAAGGAAAAATAAAGTGTTGTCGATCAGTGCAACACAGAAAGACTTTGTCGTCCATTTGTGCAGAAACCTGCTCCACCTTCTAATTCCCGTATATTCCCAGGGAGTCGGAAACTCGTGCTCACCGACAACCTCACACCATGATCAACAATCCCTTCCTGTATCTTTACACATCCCACGTCAAGAAGCTGTAACCATATGAGCAAACCAGGCTACGAATACGAGTATACTAAACAAGCAGTGTGACGTGTGGTGGAAGGAAAGGGACGGTTACAATATTTCCCTTTGTAATGACCCACAGGTTCAACTACACTCTGTGAGGTCCCTGGTGAACAGGTGGTCTAATCAGTTGGGTGGTTGACTGTCAAATGATTTACTCCTCCACAATTTGCCAAACAATCGGTACGCTCAATCTCTAAAGCTTCGTATTCATACCCTGGCGCAATGAATCGTTCAATGATCCTCGTTTCTACTTCAAAAACTATGGTCCCCGTTGAGGTTTCGTTCGTAAAAACTTTATATGATGGAGCGGCAAATCCCTTTGGTTTACCCTCAAAAGCAATTTCCAATTGCGAATCAACTTCTAAGTTCCCAAAATTATGCGCAAACTCGTTAACAATCTGTGGATTGATCTTCGTATACTTCCTAAAGAAGTTTTTAACAAGATTTTTAGCAAATATATTTGAGCCTATAAGAGCGTCACTATTCGTTGCTCCTACAACGTGTACCAATAAAACCGTAAATTTATGAGTCAAGGGAGGAGGTCTACGACAGCACGACATGCTAAAACATTTCTTAAAAATTTACTCACATTCCCTTTCTGCTTTTGAAACACCTCCTCAAATCACTCACTCAGGTATGTATTACTTTTCCTGGAGTTAAGGATTTTTTTTTTTTTTTGACACAACCCTCCAATTGAAGATGTGTTTAATCACGACGCTGCCTCCAATTTGTTGTATATACACATGAGTGGTGGTGATATTGAAGGTGGGTGAGACGAGGGGTTACCGTTACTTAATGAACTCTACTTATAATAATATGATTATATATTCCACAATAAGTATTTGAATGAGGTTACCAGAACGGTTACACAACTATCAATGATTATCAAAGTATACACATATAAACCCTAAAAACATAAAACAATATACTTATAACCTATACTTAACTATGACATATTCAACTAGAACCAGTACCTAATCTGATACTCTTTTACAATTCTCATAAGTACTTTACTACCTTACTACCTTACAACACACTCTGAACTCACTCACAGAGCTCCACAAAGTTGTCATACACGTCACCCTCTGCTTAAAATGGCGTGAATCCTGTGAGCATCTCGTACAAGATGATACCCAGACTCCACCAGTCAACTGCCTGCAACAAAAACAAATTTGGGGAAACAGACAAAATCAGTCACTTTTCATTTCTAAAGACTCTTAACACATTCACAAGAATTTAAGGAAAACAAAAGCTGTGGAATGAATAAAGTGCTGTTAATTTATTCCCATAAGCTTTTACGGACTATTCCTATGTATTATATATATGAATTCTCCAGTTACGTAGTTCACATTGGTATCACTTTTAGTCCAACCAGGCAAAGACTGTGCCACGTTTTCATATGATCTGCATAGTTGATGCCGCGTCAGAACCTTAAAATTGCTTTATTATCCATCGTACTAATTCCTGTTACCGAAACGGTTCGTCTGTACTTTAATTCAAAGGCTCTTCATTCACTACTTATATTCTTTAAATCTCAGTTTGTATGTAAGCCGGTTATATATTTCACCATTTTTGGGGGGATTTTGGAGGAAAAATTGACACTCTAAGCTACTTTCCTGTTTTGGCGGATAAAGTGACAAAGACTACAGAATAATCACTACCCATTTCAGTGTTTCTTCACTAAGTGCATCCTAAATAACATTTTCTGACAAATATGTAACACTACACACACCAGATGGCACAAAGTAAACTACACCAAATACAGATGAAAGGTTCTGACACTGCAATGTGCACTTACCACGTTATCCTTCAATGTTATGAGCAGTTAGTAAACACACTCATTTTAAAACCATTTTTCAATGTTGGCACCTCCTGGGGGTAGGGAAACAGCATTGGCAGAAGAACATCTCATCCCCCATGGAATTTATAATTATGTATCCATACCCTCAGATTATTATACTGCGATGATTGATTTGTTTATTACTGTTGGTTCAGTCACGTTAAACAGTGAAATCGTTATTGTCGCATTGTCCGTGCGTAACGAACTTACCGTGGTATGTCCTTTGCCTTCAACCATTTCGGGAGCTATGTAGAAAGACGAGCCGCAGAAGGAATATGCGCATTTACACTGTTCATAGAAACATTTTACATAACTGTGATCGCAATCTGAGACACAAAACAACTAATAACTAACGCTCTAGTAGTAAGAACAAACTCTTAATATTGCTAATTCCAAAGCCCACCATTGGATACAGTTCACATCCATTCTCATTTCTCTCCTCCCTCAGAATCAATTTTCTAGTATTCCTCTTAATCAGTGGTCCACACAGCTCCTACATTTTCAGCTTATGCATTTCAGACTCAACAACTTATGAGCCTAAGGTAAAAATTAAATTTACCTTCTGACGAGGGTGGAACTTTTTACAGACTAGAGCAATGCGCTCCTACCGGAGCGCTTTCTCGAGAGTCCTTGTCGTTCTTTCTCGATAATTTCACGTTTTTCGTCTATCAGTTTCTGTTGATATTTAATACTTCATATTTCAGCGTGTTTTTTTTCTCTCTCTTCTGTTCTTGTTGATTAAGTTTTTCTACGTGTATTGTTAATATGGTCTCGTTTATCAATGTATGTTTTCTTTTGCTTTTCCTTATTTATTAAATAGGTCTGATGTTTTAGTTCTTTACATCGCTGTTCAGAGGCCAACTGTTCTTGGTCAGTCAACTTTCTATGTCCAACTCCACCCTTGCCAATCTTCGATAAAGACATATTGTTCTGTGAAAATGCTATGAGTAATAATGAAAGGGGATTGTTGATGGCAATATACCAACATAACAATGCAGAGTAAACAGAGTGCAGTTCTTTATGTACTCACCCATTATCAGGTGCAGGTCAGAATCCGTCTGGAAGGTGTAGTGTGCCTTCACCAAGAACAGGCTGTCACCTACATCCTCTGACACGCGGCACTCTGTCATGGTGTGCTCGTACATCTTCCTGTCCTCCATTCATGGCGCAGAGCCATCCTTGATCGCTCCCTCACCTCTTCTTGACTAGATGGACCTTCCCGAAACCTGTAACATGGCATTTATGTTACTTATTGAAGTCTGTTCAACAAACGGTTCTTGTGTCAGAAAACAATCTTTTCCTACAGATGAGGATTCTGTATAACTTTTTATGCAACGTCTGAACTTCATAATTTTCAGTGTATGTTCTGTAGTCAAGTAAAAACGCACTAGAAGCAGTTGGAGTTGATGTGATAGCTTTTGTAGTTTCTAATGATTGGAGCACATAATTTCAAATAAGGGAAATGAATAGCCCTACTAGGTGACAAAAACATAACAAAAATATATTTAATATTATACAAATACTTCATAATTACAACATTTTCTGTTATAATACGAGGTGCGATCAGAAAGTTTCCAGACTGCGCCTATAAAAACCCGTACACTTATCTCAGGTATTAAATTCATCCATC